GTGGGCTGGGCTGCCGAGGCCAGGCGCGCCGGGTGGGGGTGGGGAGCCCGGGAGGGGGGGCAGTTGTAATACAACTTCTTATCTGCCGCCCCCAACACTCCCGTGAGCCCCCATCCCCAGAGACGCGGCGTGAAAGGTTGGTGCGTTTCCCCCCTGACTTCTTTTTGTCCGTTGCCCAGTGGCGTCTGCAAGTCTGAGCTGCAAAGTTACTGATTTGCAGGCTGCATGTTAAGGCAACCCATGTAAGTAATTTCTCCGGGCATCCCAGCAAAGGAGAACAAATCGCTGACAAAGGCGAGCGCTTTCGATTCAGCGGCGTCGTTAAGGCAACCCCAAAGTATTCCTCCTATAATAAGTTCCACTTCAAAGGGTTTCTCATTCAGCGGTGACTGCTTCGCACTTTTATTAAGTCCGGGCTTTTTCACTCGGAGGAATCATCTGTTTGGTTATTTTTCATCGTGTTTATTTTTCACCATTCACACAGTACTTGTATTAAATAAACAAAGAACAATCGCTCTGCAAATAAAAGTACTTAGGTGGGGAGAGAAGGAAGAGGAACTGGGGCTCTAGCGCCCCTGCCCCTCACCCCCCACCCTGCTAACATCACCCACCCCCACCCCCACTCGGCCCTCTCCCCTCCTCATTCTTTCCCTCTCTTTTCTCTCAAGGTAGGAGGTTTCATGCAGGAATCTTTTAAAAAGTGAATATGTCTGTCTGTATGTACGTTATTCCCGAGGTGAATATTGGCTGAACTAACTTGGCATGAGAGTAAAGGTCACTGCAACTGTATCTTAATAGAGTGTCTCCAATCCAATCGGGGAACCCTCTGCCAGCCAGTCTCCCGGCCTGCCATTGCCATAGCAATCAGGTCTCTCTGCGTGGATGTACCATAAAAGCAGTTGTTTGAATTTCAAAGACTATGCCTTTGAACTTCTCCCTGCCTGAGGAGGCACTGGCATTGTGTGCGAGAGTGTGCTCAGGAGTGTCTGTGCGTGGGCGTGGGGGTGTGGTGTCACTTTCTGTGAGTTTTTGTTCCCGGAGGGAAAGTGGGCTGGCTCCCCCAGGGCAGTTTCCCTGTGGGTCTCCTTCACCAGCCCTCCAGGCCCGGAAGGTTTTCTGTGGCCCTGTGTGGTGTTTTGGTCCAGTAGGGGTGAATGGGCCAGGCGGTGGTGATGGGACAAGATGAAAGTATCAACAGCGTCTGGCTTGTTTTGCTTGTGATCAGCCTTCGTTTCCTGCGACTTAGGTGATCACTTGAGAACCAGATTGCCACTCCTGCCCTCTAGGCTGGGCTTGTATTTCTAAACAAACTGGATTAAAAATACTGTTGGTAGGCATCTCTCCTACCAACCTAGTGAGATCATAGGTAGGTAGATAGAGAAGCCTCAATGGTCTCCAAAAACTTCCACAAAACCAAAGATACCGATCTGAGATTGCGATACAAATATGGTGTTGGTGGGCAGCTGGGCCCAGTGTTCTGGAGTCTGGGCCCCTTTTCCTGTCCCCTCCAGTGCTATCATGCTTGTGTGCTGTCTCCAGCTCCTTCAGAGAATAGAACTCTCACCCCTGAACTCTACGTACTCTAGATTTTACGATCATTAGCTTTACCAAGGAGCATCCTGACTGGGAAAAATATATATACATAAATGACAAATAATCGTGTGTTTGAAGATTCTCCTGGCCTGGAAAACAAAGGTAGACAGTTTAAACAGTGTATACAAGGGCCACGTTTTGCCTAGGGAAGATGAAGTCTTTGATGATAGCCAACTTAGTGTCAATAAGTGGCTTTCTTTGAGACATATTCAGATGGGAACGTCTTGCTTGCCAATTGCCATAGAAATCTTAACACACCATGAAGATTGTCCAAGCGCCAAGCCTTCCGTTCTGGACTAAATTACTTTGAAGTGGCGCAGGACGAGCAGTGGTCAATTTTAACTCTATAGACTGGACAGAGAACGCTGGGAGTGGGAGATTGTGCGTTTTAAAGCAGAAAATAAGAAGGGGAAACTTGTTTTATACACTCTATACAAGGTTCGGCTCATTGTCAGATATCTTTTATCTTTTATATTTCCCATGAATGATTCATGTCTTGGTGGCTTTGTGTCACCCTTCTTTTCACAAGAAACTTCATTAGAGAGCTATAAGTTTTCCCATTCACTGGGCCCTCATTTATGAGTGTTTCTCTCCTTCGTGTGCTGGTTATTGTCATCTGGCTTAAAACAACTCTTTGCAACCTGTTTCACCTTTACTACATTTAACAAACCTGACTTTTAAAAGCCACTATAACCTTTTGGAGAAATGCTTATTGACATTATTACCAGTTGTTTTTTTTAACTTTTGCCTTTTATCAGTTTTGCATCAGTGAACATAAAAATAAGCAAATAACCAACCTCATGAATGTGCAGAGCCAAATAAATTCATTTTAAGGCCCTTGAACACTTTACCATGATAAACACCTACTTCAAAATGCTGAGCTTAAAAGTTACTTACATTTTACTCAACTTCCACATTAAACTCCCATAGAACTATATTTTGATCACCCAACTACCAAGAGGAATTTGAAACCCACTGCTCCATTTCACTCAATGCTCCTCTCAGCCCTGAATCATTTTGTTCCCACCTTCTTTGTGTCTGGAAGCCTCACTGTCCATCTTTTTTGCATTCTTTAATTTTTAAAAGGTAGGCACCAAAGAAATGCTTAAATTGACTTTTCAACTTTTCCCTGATTGGAATCACTAGGGATATTACTAATTTTGTTACTAAATGAATATAGTAGCCCCTAAGATTTATGCTGCTTTAAGTGCAACCTGTAGGTCTTAGTCTTCATAAATAACTTGGATTTTCCACATTAAACTGTTTGTTCAGCCAAGCTGTAAACATATTTTATTGCTTGGGGAGAGACTCAGAATCAAAAGATCAAGGGAAAAAGTCTACTGTTCACTGCCTTAGGTTCTATTTTATCGTGAAAACATGACAGAGATGTGTCATTACGTAAAACATAAGCAATACATAGGAAGAATACCTTTATTAAATTTGGGACTTCATATTCATTCTTGCTTTCTTTCTATTGGAGGTACACATTTTAGATTTTATTTTAGATGTATAAGGGACCAATAAATCTGTGGCAGAGTTAACCTATCCATGGCAAAATACATAAAATACATATTCCTTTGTTTCATAATAAATAAACCTGTCAGATAATAAAGAATAGTGCAAACTACCATTGAAAAAGTTGTATAAATAAGACAACTCATACATCGGGAATATTTTGCTCTAAGTTCGCGATACATAAATTATCCCCCCAAAGTTCATACCTTAGATTTTCTATTTGAAAGGGCTTTGCAAGTGAATAATAGGAAAACCAAATAAACTTTAGAAATGTAGAATTATTTTATATTCAAGTTTTATGGTCTTTTTCTTTATAAAGGAGGGTCTGCATGTTTCATATTCACCATAACAATCTGAAGACAACATTGAAAGGCTTTCCAAGTGACAGCACCATGCACTGTACTAGTAATATAATATATCTATAAACTATATAGAAATCTCGTCAACACAATGCAAAAAAGACATGCAGGAAGAGTCTTGGTTTTCACATTACATTGTTCATTCAAGTAAGCTTAAAAATATATTTTTCCATTTTCTTTCCTTTTTTTTTTTTAAATAAACCGTGAACCATAAATGACCATCTTTCACCAAAATGTATAATATAATTCTTTGGTGTGCTTTGAACTCTTCCAGTAGGGGGAAAAAAAAGGATGATGTCTGAAAATAAATTAATTCAACTGTACAAATCATAGTGTTCACATACAAGTTATTAACAATGACAAGACTACATCAACCACTCACAGCACACAAAACAAATTTCTACAAACCCTGGGGAAGGGGAGTTCAGGGTCTCTGAGGATAAATTAGTGCTCTTTAGTATATTCGGATGACGTTTCTGATGGACTACATTTGCACAGGAGATGTGTTGTACCAACTGAAAATAAATTGACTAAGAGTTATTGTCCTAGGTCCTTGACCTTTTTTTTCCCTGAGCTTGACAGCTCTGGCAAAGGTCACACATTCATCAGTGTTTGGTGGTAACTATAAACCTTTTAAAAATTTTAATATGTATAGCAACTCCCTCCCCTCTTTTAATGTAAATCATACACTTCACACACTGTCATTTTCAAATGGAATAGAGTCGGTGTGCTCAGTGCTCAGGTGGAAGAAAATGCATTAAAATGCAGTTGCAGGCATTGAAATATAGAGACTTTTTAAAAGGCTGATAGACAGTATAAAAGAGAGGCTGGCCTGTTTTAAAAGCAACAGCTTTCCAAAAAAATAGGCATGATGCCATCACCACACCTCCTCACCCATGACCGGGAATGTTGGCATCTCAAAGACTTATAATCGAAAACATAATCTCTTTATTACATAAGAAGTTTGGACACAGGAAGGAGGCAGCATCTGAGATTGCAGACTGAAAAAAAAAACAAAAAAACCACGAGAGAGGAAAAAGCAAGCACTTGAAATTCTTCTATTTTATAAAATATCACAGTTTCACAGCTGTCTATCGCAGCAGCTTTTTTCTCTCTCCACTGTTGCTTGAAAATCACAGTAGCACAATATATGGAGATATATTAAGGTTGCTGCATCTTTTTTTTTTTTTTTAAATCGCACAGGTAGACTACTGGAGAAATAATCCTGTATAAAAATATTGTGTTACGGTGAAAACAGTAATAAAAGAGTGGAAATGAAAAATTACAACGATCAGAACTTAAAGGGTTTTACAAATAGACACAGGTTGAGTCCAGGATCTGTTGGCAATGCAGCAAGTGTGTGGTTTACAATCAAGAGGCCTTTGCAGAATAAGGGCCCAACAAAGACGCTCAGAAAGGGCCCTGGTGGTGGAGTCAAAGGCAATTGGAGAGGCACTCTGGGAAAGGCAGAGGACCTTGTTGCTGTGTTCCATTCTGACTCACTGCTCTGCTTCTTCCCCTTTTAAAAAATATATACATATTGCATCGGCAGTGTGTATCTTGATTAACTAATCGCTGTTCATTCTCCTTGGTACAATTTGCCCCCAGCCCTGTCCCCCTGCAATGTACAAGTCCAGCTTGGTTGTTTTGTTTGTTTTTTAAGGAAAAAAAAAAAGGCCCAAATATCTTAATTAAATTAATTAAACGTACAAACACCATAGGGTTTCATACTGAATAAATAGGGCTAATTAGACCCGGTGGCAAGTCTGAGTCACGGGTTTGTCTCAGGCTCGGCATTGTCTCAGGTTAGGATGTGGTCCAAGGACTCCCACTTATTATTATCTCATGTATTATTATTAATAAATTCTAATGTATCGTTCGCACAACTTCAGGGTTCCCGTAAATCTCTTCATCTTCGGACTCAGAGGTGGTTCCATTGCTGGAAGGTGTGTGGAGGTGGCCAGGGGCTCCACTGGCCTGGCAAACGTACCACTCGTTGAGGTTGGTCACCTGAGGGGACAGAGTGCTGGAGCGACTCCTAGCTGGGTCCAGCACAGGGGACAAGGGGGCACCCACTGGAGTCCCCGCTGAGGAATAACCGAGGGCCCCTGGAGAAGGTGGGGGCGACTTGCAGTGAATCTTCATGTGCTTCCGCAGAGAGCTAGGGTGGGTGTAGGACTTGTCACAGCCCCTGATCTTGCAATAGTAGGGCTTGTCACTGGTGTGGACGTGGGAATGCTTCTTTCGATCACTGCTATTGGCAAACTTCCTGTCACAGCCATCAAATTCACATTTGAAAGGCTTCTCCCCTGCAACAGAACACAGGAAAGGTTAACGATGGCTTCCCAGAAACCGCTCACTTAGGAGAAATCTTGAAGCAGTCCTGAGGATGCACTTTCCCATTCTCCTGAAGACCAACTCCCACACCAATTACATTTCTATGTTCCAGGATGCAGAGGGGAAGGGAGACATCAGGGGTAGGCCTGGAGCCCACTGGCCTGGACCTTGCTCAGATCTGGGCTCCTGAGAGGCTATATGTCAGCCCCTGAAGTAGCACAGGGCCAGGATGAGATTCCCATGGTTGGAGTCGGGTACAGGGTCTAACACTGAGATCCACCTGGGAGATGTAGGCCCCCTCCCACACTGCCCCTTAGGTCCCAAGTAGGACATCCCCACTGAGATAAATGCTGATAAACTGGTAACTCCAGAGCCACAGAGAAAGCAAAGTAAACACATACACTAAATGAACAGTAAACTGGGTCTGCGGTAAAATTGTCATAGTGGCATTTTGTTTCAGAACATCCAGGATTTCACTGATGGAAAGGAACAGCAGGAGAGGGTGTAGGATTGGGAAAGGAAAGGAAATAAAACAAAACAACCTTTTCTCTTCAGAAACCAAGGCACCTGTGAAACACACAATCCCACCACTGGATTTTTACAAGGCTAGTGGGGCAGAGAATAGGCTGTTGGCCTCTGTATTCTACCACCTTTCCTTACAACTTGCAGGGCGATTAAGAGTACGGCAGAACAGAACCTTAACAGACGTTAATAAAGACCACAAGCCTCTGCAGGACCCACCATTTACCTAACGCCATAAGTAAACCTATTCTAACAGCCTTCTACATTACTTAATGGCTAACTAAGACTTTAAATCTAGGGTCTTTTGGCCTATCACCCCTAAGCTGGCCTGACTACCCCAGGAACACAATGCCCTTAAACACAAGGCCTCTGGTTCAGAAAGTAGAAATGCTTAGTGAAAGGACTAGGGAAATTCGACCACACTGCCCCTTGGTATTCAAAACCAAAACAGGAGGATGGCAGGTCACAGTCTCACCCCCTCTCATCTTGGTATCTACAAACCTGATATGTCTAAGTCCATAATGAACCCAGTCTCATATGTTACTACACAATCCTATTTTCCTCTTATATTTAGAAGACTTAAAAAATAAAGCTGCATTTCACCACATCTGACAGCCCCTCTGGGGACACTCTGGGCAAAGCCTTTCACCTTTTTTTCGGATCACTTTTTAAGAAACCATTAAGACTCAGTTTAAAGCACATAAATTTCTGTGGCAAATTTTCTTATTTCCTCTGTACAAATATTATCAATGCTATTTGTTTAAAAAAAAATTCCCCAAGGATTAACTGTTTCAACACCAAAGTATGTTAGCACATCTGAAATTATTCAAGATGCCTATGCCATAACCTTCCCTAACCGGAAACACTGTTTAAAAATGCAATCAGCCTTTATTCATCCATCTCTTACAGTGATGTACACATGGAGGGCAACCCAGAACCTCAATGAGAGAACCTTTACAAATTCTGTGGATGAGCTGCAACGAAAGCAAAGTTAATCCCTTTTTATCAAAACATCAGTGACTGGTCCTGGTGCATCACACTTTAAGGTGTAGATATTTCTAATTTATTACAGTATTGCTATTTAAAAAAAAAAAAAACTGTTATTCACCGGCCCTTCCAGGCCTTTCCACGCAGGCCCAAGTGGTTTTACTTATTCACCCTATGCAAATGTGCGATGCTGTCTTTTGGATTGCTCATGCTTCTGAAAACCTCCGTTTTTTTCTGGGTTGAAAAGAGCAAACGCTGGCTCTTCCACCGCACAGCAAAATGACAAGCAATTAGAATAAGAAATAAGGGAAGGAGAGGTGGAGGGGGAAAGACAAAAAGTAGAAGAATGATATAGAATGGCGCGTTTTACCAGGAGCCTGAGGTGGTGAGCAGACCCTACCTAACTGGAAAGGCTGAACGACCCCAGTGTCCCAGTGTTTACACTTCAGGTTCTGACAGAGGGTCACGTCAGAATCTGCTTACTGAGTTTGAGACACCGGGCCTGTGAGTAGGGGCAGCTCCGCGTGGGTAACTTCAGTCCCACCAGTCCCCTCTCCCTGAGCGACAGTATGGTGCAGAGGAAGGTGATAAAGGGAACTGGGGGCACGTGGGGCAGCAAACGGGCCACTGGATTAGTCCCTTTGATCCATCAGTTCCGGGATCCCTGATAATCGCCCCCCACCCCAAAGGAGGACTGCGGGATGAGGAGGGAAGGACCTTCTCTGGACACGCAGTACAGGACCGCCAAAAATACGAGGCGCGGGTTGGGGTTGGAATCCATGGTGCCTGCAGCCTTCTGGCCAGAGCCACTCAGCCTTAGGGAGGCCATAAATTCAATCATCTGCGCAACGTGGAGCCAGGACACTAAGCACCATGGGCCCCTCGGTGTCCCCCAGTCCTCGAAATGCACGACCCTCTCCGGCTGTCCCACAGGGGCCCGGAAAGCCCGGATTCGGGTCGGCTTGCGCCACCAGGTAAAGTTCACTCCCTGCCCGAGGCCTGGGAAGGCCGGAAGGGCCTGAGGCCTCGCATTTAGAGGGTGCCTTTGGGACCCATGTTCGGGACTGGCTTCGTGGTCCCTGAATCCTGCCAGGTCGGAAGTGCTGGGCACAGGAGCAAGCAGCCGGCCTGGCAAGCCAGGGAGTTTTTACGAGGGCCTCCTACGAAGCTTCCTTTTGGAAAAATCATTAAGGCGGACTGATTCCGCTTAGGAAAAAACGGGCTCCTGGGAAAACATGCTTCTAGCCCGCCATCAGCCAACCCTTTGGGAGGCCTGCGAGGTGTCGGCAGACAGGAGCATGGCCCGGGGCTCCAGCCTTGGGCCACCGGCCCGACCACTCCTGCTGCGCCCCTAACGCCTCGGCCCGGGCCAACACCCGGCATTGCCTCCGGCCGCAGCGCCGATAAATCAGCCGAGTGATTACGGCACTGGCTCCGTGGTCCCTGAATCCTGCCAGGTCGGAAGTGCTGGGCACAGGAGCAAGCAGCCGGCCTGGAAAGCCAGGGAGTTTTTACGAGGGCCTCCTACGAAGCTTCCTTTTGGAAAAATCATTAAGGCGGACTGATTCCGCTTAGGAAAAAACGGGCTCCTGGGAAAACATGCTTCTAGCCCGCCATCAGCCAACCCTTTGGGAGGCCTGCGAGGTGTCGGCAGACAGGAGCATGGCCCGGGGCTCCAGCCTTGGGCCACCGGCCCGACCACTCCTGCTGCGCCCCTAACGCCTCGGCCCGGGCCAACACCCGGCATTGCCTCCGGCCGCAGCGCCGATAAATCAGCCGAGTGATTACTGAATGTAAACTCCAGTTACTTAAGTGTCCTCCGAGGGGTAATATTGTCTGTCCCAATAAATTCCGACTGCACTCCCGCTTATCAGCGATTCCAGCGCTTCCGCCCGACGCGCTAGGCAGTTCCAAGGGCGTACAGGACCCACTGGGACGTCCCACCGCCCTCACCGCCCTTATAGAGGCTATGACCCCAAAGGCCAGGCGTGGCGTGGAGTAAAAGAACCCCACAGCGCCCAGGGTCCCCCCAAGTTCTACGACAGCGTAGGCCTCGCTGACCGCGGAAGGCCCTTGTCCTCCTCCAACTAGAACATTCTTTAAAAGGGCAAAAGCCAACGTCTCCAGCACCTGCTTGTGTGTGTGTGTGTGTGAGTGTGTGAAATCATGTGAGTGTGAAAATGAAATGCGTGTGCATGTAAAAGGTGTGAGGGCATATGAGTGTCGCAGGAGCGGAGGCGGCGACATGAGGGCATGAGCGTGTGAACCTGTGAAATTTGTGCCTGTGAAGGTGTATGTGTGGGGTAACGGGGGCGTGTGTGTGTGTGTGTGTGTGCGCGCGCGCGTGTGTGCATGTATGTATGGTTCTCCGGGGGCCTGAAGGTGCGCTTCTCTCGCCCCCCGCACCCCGCCCGGAGGCATGGAACTCCCCTGTCCCTGGGGAACGACCCAACGCGCGGCCCCGCTACCGCCGCAAACCCCACGCAACCCTCCCACACCCGCACTTCCGAGTGCGGCGAGCGTGCCAGGCCTGCGACCGGGTAGGGAGGGAGGCGCCGACCGCGCCGCCCCGGCCTCCCTTCCCCATCGCCCTCCCCGACTTCCCGGGGCCGGGCGGAGGGGGGCTGCCGACCGTCCTGGGCGCCTTCCTGTTCCTGCGGTGGCGGCGGGTGCTGCGCGGGGGGTGGGGG